ATTTGAAAAATCAAATAAAAACTTTAAATAATAAATGGTATCGGTATCGTAAAATTGTTTTATAAAAAAGTATCGGTATCGGATCGCATTAAAATATTGTGGTATCGCCCATGTTTGATTAGGGTTGAAGCAAAACTCTTGATGCAGAAGCAGTGAACTGCGGTAAATGTTTTCTCCACACGGTGTCACTGTCTCTCCTTCACAAAGACAAGGACAAAACTTTCAGCGAAAAACCTGCTTCTGCTCTGCTTTGTCCTCATTTTGCTAACGTTCTCCTGTGTTCAATCACAGCAGCTGTGTGTCTGTTTATTTCATATATTTATTAAATATTTTTTCTTGCTGATCGTTTCATTCAATGCAACTTATAGGCTGCTTCTCGTTTTTACCTGTTTTATGGATTTAAATAAAATGTTGATCATTTTTAAATGCTTTGAAACAGACAGAAACTTTGACAAAATCTACATTTGTGCATATAAAACTTTACAGTCAACATATTGCCACATATAGCATCTGACAAATGACTGATGTAAAACAACCAGCAGGTTCCCGCAATGCCCACTGCTATTAAATGCCAAACTGGTAAACAGAAAACAGAACAACATAAGCAATAAGACTGATTACTTGTGCAAGAAACATGCTCATAACATGTTAATTCGAGATATAATATGCTAACGACATTGTAATTCAGGCTAGAAATGTTAAATCATGCTAGGAACATAGCAACAATCTGATTCTTTCCAGCGACAAGTTAATAAATGCTTAAAAAAAATGATAGCAACATGCTAATTCTTGTTATTGGTATCTTAGAAACATGCTAATTCACATTAAAGCATTCTAATGCTATCAATCTGCTAACATGATAGAAACAAGTCATGCTAGAAATATAAAAGTGATATGCTAATTCACATTAAAGCCTTCTTATTCATGTTAACAATCTGCTAACAAGACAGAAACAAGTTAAGTCATGCTAGAAACATGATAGTGACATGCTAATTCACATTAAAGCCTTACAATTCATCTTAACAATCTGCTAATGATAGAAACAAGTTAAGTCATGCTAGAAACATGATAGCGACATGCTAATTCACATTAAAGCCTTCTATTTCATGTTAACAATCTGCTAACATGACAGAAACAAGTTAAATCATGCTAGAAACATGTTAGCTACATGCTAATTCTTGTTAGAAACATGACAGCAATGTGCCAATTCACGTAAAACATACTATAGACCAGGGGTGTACAAACTCGGTCCTGGAGGGCTGGTGTCCTGCAGATTTTAGCTCCAACTTGCCTCAACACACCTGGAAAGATGTTTCTAGAAAGTTTCTTAATTAGCTAGCCCAGGTGTTTCTGATTGGGGTTGGAACTAAACCTTGCAGGACACCGGCCCTCCAGGACTGAGTTTGGACACCCGTGCTATAGCAGGGATCAACAAATTTGTTCCTGGAGGTCCGGTGCTCTGCAGATTTTAGCTCCAACCCTAATCAGACACACCTGAACAAGCCAATCAAGATCTTACTAGGTATACTTAAAACACAGGTGTGTTGAGGCAAACCCTGAGCTAAACCCTGCAGCGCACCGGACCTCCAGGAACGAGATTGGTGACCCCTGATCTATAGACTATAAAAATACACACCTTAAATACCTTAAGGGGACTTTGAATCTGCTGGATTCTCATCTAATTAGCATTTTAACACAACAATCCCTGCTGAAAAATCCAGCTTAAACCAGCCTAGGCTGGTTGGCTGGTTTTAGCTGGTCAACCAGTCTGGTTTTAGAGGGGTTTTGGCCACTTCCAGGCTGGTTTCCAGCCATTTCCAGCCTGGTTTTAGCTGGTCAGGCTGGAAAATGACCAGCCAAAACCAGCTAAAACCAGCCCAACCATCCTAGGCTGGTTTAGGCTGGATTTTTCAGCAGGGTTTAAAAATGATCAACATTTTATTTAAATCCATAAAACAGGTAAAAACGAGAAGCAGCCTATAAGTTGCATTGAATGAAACGATCAGCATGAAAAAATATTTAATAAATATATGAAATAAACAGACACACAGCTGCTGTGATTGAACACAGGAGAACGTTAGCAAAATGAGGACAAAGCAGAGCAGAAGCAGGTTTTTCGCTGAAAGTTTTGTCCTTGTCTTTGTGAAGGAGAGACGGTGACACCGTGTGGAGAAAACATTTACCGCAGTTCACTGCTTCTGCATCAAGAGTTTTGCTTCAACCCTAATCAAACATGGGCGATACCACAATATTTTAATGCGATCCGATACCGATACTTTTTGTAAAACAATTTTACGATACCGATACCATTTAT